ATGAAGCGGTTAATGTTGTCGAACCATCCAACGACATTATTGCATCTTCCCATGAAGTCTGCAATGTTGTTAAAAACAGTGAACGCAGCCATGATCACTCCAAAGACTCTCTTATGTCCAACCTTAAAAATAAGAGGAAATAAATGCTTATACTGCACGGCCATTTACATTTTTTTTCTGTGAATGAATTGTGAAGAATAGAAGTACGTTGTTTACTTGCATAAAATGAATAACCGTGCTTTCACCTGTTTTGCTTGCAGTGGTTATTTTTTTCAACAATATATTTGTAGCAGTCTTTAAATTACCGTTCAATGATTTTTGCGTAATCCCTGAAATACACGGGTTTGCATTGCGGACCCAGTTGTCCGACTTAACAATAACCAATTAAACCAAAATAATTTAATTGACACGCTTAGTAGATACTAACACGATTTTTGTTTTTTTAACTCAAAGGCCTTTTTTTCTGAATAAAGGCCATGCCAGGGAAGTAAAGTAACGCGTACTGAAAATATCACCTGATGTATTGTAAAATTTGTCCGTTTCTCTGGCAAATGATGGCGATGACGTTTCCCTAGACTCTGGTGAGATTCAGATATTTAACGAGAAGGCCCAACAAAAGAAGGAGCAAGGAAAGACTTTTCATCTTCTTCGAGGATCAGGCTGACTGACTTGGCTTTTATCAATCGGCAGTCTCTGAGTTTTAAGTCACATCACTTCCCCTACTCTATTTTCATTGTAAATCATCAATAATTAATGCAGGGAGAAAATCACGTAATGTCTTACAGGTTGGTATATCAATTAAGTAATGACTTACAGGTTGGTATATCAATTATCCTATTGACGTAATGACGTAATGACTTACAGGTTGGTATATCAATTAAGTAATTTTATCTGGTATTATTCTCGATCTCAGATCAGCCGCCCCCTTCCCGTATTTTGGAATAATTTCTGCTCGTATATTAGGACCTAGTAATTTTTCACTGTTCTTTTAGGTGGAGATGTAAATATATGCCCTATGGGTAATAATGAACTCCATTCGCGAGCAATAACGCCATAGACGGACTTGCCTAGATGATTGAAGGATTGACAACCATATCGAAAATAAATCATTGTTCAATTTGGTATTTGACAGGGTGACGAACGTAAGCCGGCTGTAACAAAGATTTTTTTTTATTTTTCCAACCTTGTAAATGCATGATAAATGTCCTCCATTTTGATGAAAAAGTTAAAATACTATTTAAAAAAAAAACAAACAAACAAAAAAAAATAATATATTGGTGTCATCTTTATGTCAGCGATAAATGGGAGCATCGGTGATGCGATAATTATAGTAAAGTACAGATAAACGTCATTATTTTTTTAATATAGAACATTTATTCTTCTCGATGACTTTTACCTGTACGTCAATATCAGGACCTTTCCTGATGATCATAAGAAAAGGTCGTACATTTATCGTTCGAAAGGAAAAGTGTAATGGAAAGTAAGGTGCTTATATGTTGGAATGATCAGATACTTTTTCACCGGTACCAATAATACATAATTAGACTTAAAGTCATCTTTAGCAATAGATCATTTTCATAATTTTAAAGTCATCTTTAGCAATAGATTCATAATCTCTTGTCCTTAAGCATCGTCTGTCTAGATGAATGTTTTGAATGAAATTTTGAGTGAATTTTGCAGTTTTATGTTTCAAAGTTAAAAATTTCGAACTTACAGATGAGATATGTTGTTGACATGGTACAACCTTTTTACATAGTTGCTGTGCCATGACTGGTAAGGTAAACTAGGAACCTGTAAAAAACTGGTATTTACCGGTGGCTTCTCTACCTCTTCTGACAATCGATTTTCATCACTTTTTCCTAAACATTTCACACAATTTAAACCATGTTTTCCAACCAAAATGACGCATAACTTTTACCTTTCTCTTGCCTCTCTACCATAACGGTTTGTAAAACTTCCTGTGGGTAAGAGTGGTTAGTGAAGTAACATCATGGAAGATGGTGTTCGTTAGAATTTTGAAACTGTAGTATCTCATTCCAAGTGGATCTTCTCTTCTCTAATTCACGTTCGATCGCAAATATTTCCTTATTGGATTGTTGCGTGCTCGTATTTGACAGGAAATAAACCTTTGTTGTTGGCACTTTTGCAGGTTATCAGTTTGTGTGACAATTTCTTTGTACCAAGCGTAAACGCCATCGAAAAAAATCTTGCAATTTCAATTCAAAAAGACAGAACACTGGCATGAACGATTTACTTTGCAAGAGTAGTCGGTCAGGTATTTTACACCGGGTAATTAAAAGCAGCAGGAAATTCTTTTGATTACCTTTTCATGAGCAGAGTTAACAATAGAGCTTAAGTTCCCAAGGACAACATGGTTTCGGTGAGGCCATGCTTTGTATAGACGAGAATCAGATTTTAAAATAAGTGCACCAACCAACATTGCTAGCACATAGAGAGACCTCATTCTTCTTCAACCGGCGATTGACAATTGATTGTTGGCTAAAGAGTTACTTAACATAAATAAATATCATCTTTTGTTCTACAAAAGGGTGTATAAATCAACTCGCAATCATTGAGGTTGAAGCGTACCTCAGATAACACCTCTTGTAGACAAGCGTTTCTTTCTTGCAAAATTGAAGTTGAGTGTATGTTGTAAAACCTTCTGAATCTTACAATAAACCATTTATCTTTACAAAACTCTAAAGCACCTTTGGACTCGACAACGTAACTGCATTTTATTACATAGGGCAAACTTGCGAATAAACAAAATTGCGAAAAGATACTCACAGGTACATCTAAACTGTATGTGTAACTTAATAAATTGTCTGAAATGATCTATTTCCAAATTTTTGTAATGCAGGCTTAATTTGAGGACTTTCATTCGTAGTCTTTCGTATACGAACAATTTGCTTTCAAAAAAATTTTTCGTTCTTTTGGCTACAAGCAGATCTCAAAGAAAATACCGAGTAACCAAAACAAAACAAAAAAACCGATGGACTGCATGCGCAACCGATGAATGTCGATGAGCTAGTAAGTCGGCTGTTCTGTCCAAGTCTTCAAGAATCCTGTTGTTTTTGTACGAGACGTTTCCAACATCCATTTTTTCGATTTATTGCAGGTATATGTAAGCCATCTCGAGAACACGCCTTCGGAAATTGTTCCCTTCTTGCTAAAAATAATCTCAATTTTGGTGGTTTTTTAGGCAGAGAAGATCGAGCGCTCTACACCGGTGGAAGAAAAACAGCAATCTGACTTGCCAGGTTATGTTAATTTCCCAGGCAAAAGCGTATATTTAGAGAGAACCTACGAAGAGAGGACCTCCGAAAAAAGAAAAAAAAAAATGAGCAAAGACATGGGGCGCCAAGGTTAGTGAAAGTCTGCGATGCTTTTTTGTTTTTTTATTTTCTGGCAACGACGATGAGAATATTTATCATTTTTGCCTCGTGTTTTAGTAGAATTTTCAATGTCTTCTCACAGCTAAAAATGGTATTAGTTAGATTAAGCACCGCGAAAACGGCGAACGCTGAACGTCGGCTAGCCATTTGTCATTTGCCGTTCCGTCCGCGATGTTCGGCTGTTTAAGCTTCCCGACGACAAGGCAGAACAAATGTTCCCGGTCGCCATTCACTGCGACTAGAAATAATGGATACAAAGAAGTAATGCATTTTCCGCTTGAATTTGAACTCTATTAGCTTTACAAGCAGTTCATATATAAGTAAGATGATAAACGAAGTTTAGCTATAAAAACAAGTGATCAAAATGTAGAAATAGTCGGTAAAAATGGGTTGCAAATACTCACGTTTTCGCGTTCCCTACGAACGGGAAAAATGTCCTCCTCGAGTAGAAACGACGGCCGGCAAACGGCAAACGCGGGAAATGTCAGGTCACGTGACCCTCTCTGCCGTTTGCGGGAAAATAATACGTGGTGCTTAATCTCTCTCATGATTTAATTACTACGGAATAAAAAAAAAGAAAAAAAAAAAAAAAACAGGTATTCCAAATCGACAAAGAAAGTTATTAAGCATAAATACATTTACAAACAACACATATATTCCGTAAAGACCTTGCTAAATGCTGTCTTTCACAATTAAAATAGTAATCTGACACTGTTTCTTACGTCGTAACTATATCAATCACTGAAGTTCATTGTTTCAATCTTATTTTGCTCAGCTTTGATTGAATGCAACTCCACGGCTGTGAATAGTACATCTTCGAATCCAGTTCTCACGACAGCATATAGGTGACGCATGCTCAATCGAACTCATTCCCTGAAGAAGACTTGTATATAGTATGCAGTCGAAACATCGTAAGACAAACAACTATAGTTCTCTTTTCAAGTGTTATTTACCACGATTACTAACCACAAACTGTTTTGCGATATAAGGTGTTACAATCCTACTCCTTTGGTGATGCAAACCACCTTTTTCGTTATGTTTGGTGATAAAAAGTGTATTGCATTTCTGTTGTAAAATGTGTGCCTGTTCTAATTTATTAAATCTTCCCTATTAGATCCTTAACCGGAATTAAATCGATTGGTAATTTGTAAAATTATTACGATCAATGCTTGATACTCTTTTTACTTTTTATCACAAGGGGAAAATATTCCTTGCAATCTAGAATATGAAAAAAAAGGACAAGAAATAGTGTAAAATCGTGCGTAATGCATATTTACATGTAGATATAGCTTTTTTTCTTTTGGATCTCATGGTTACATTAAATTGTTTTAAGAGGCACACGAAGAAAACAGAGTTCAGTGCAATTCTTTTTGCACCATCTATTTCAAGGAAAGAGGTTACAGATTGGAAAAGGCTTCTATGAAATTGTTACATTATTAAAAAAACTGCACTGTTCTATATCAATTTATATGCTGAGACATGGCTTATATTAGTTACTTTCTAGGAAACGTAAATGATCATGAATAACCACGCTTATGCTGGGTCATAGCTCTTATTCAAGCAAAGGGGCGTTTTAAACTTTAAAAAGTTGGAAGTCTTGTTTTACTAATAACAAACTACGGCTGAATCTTGGCTGTGACTGCAGTAGCCAAATCCTTCCTGGGTGAATGGACAATCAAATAGTGAGCTCTCTGATCCTTGGCAGTTGATGCGATCTCTCCATATGGGACCCGATCCTTGACCGTATGTTGCACTAACGTTAACATAGGAAGCTCCGGTGAAGTTAAGCTGCCGACACGCCACGTTTGCATCATTCATATCCCATGAAACATCGCAAATTGTTCCCCAGAGCCCGTTATGGAACACTTCAACACGACCGTACCTCGCCCCACCATTCACCAAACGAATTGGAAGAGAATCATATGAACATGTTACACTAGCATCTTGACTATGAGTACAGTTTTCATGTGTACCCCATCCTCCGTGTCCACAGCCGGAGATCAAAGACTCATTTCCAAAGCAAGCTACGTCATTCATCCATATTGGACCGATTCCTAGGCCATGACTGGCACCACTAAAGGCTTGGGAAGCCCGGTCGAAGCCAATTTGCTTGCACGACACCAGGGCATCGTCGATGTCCCATCCATTGTCACAAACTGTGCCCCACTGATTATCAAAAAAGACTTCTATCCTTCCACTGGATGCGTTGTGACCGGCTATACGCAGTGCACCATCTGTTAAAGCTAAGAGAGAAAAGAGGTCTCGATATGTAAACTAATTTATGATTATGAATTTATTAACACATCCATAAACTCTCCGATTGGTTAGGGGGAAGTGCTTAATGTTTTTTTGATCCTTCAGTGAGCTGCTTTGTAGAAGGTTGCAAAAGTTTTTTTTCGTTTTCGTGAAGTTCGTTTGGTTTCTCAAGCTGTCGGTTGCTGTATTCTAGTAAAGCTTTCTCGTTGGCTGGGGAAAAGATGTGATTTAGACAAAAATGGTGCAGATTGTAAATAAATCGCATAAATAGAACCATTCATATTACAAGGATCACCAGTTACTTCCAAATGGAATGATGTACGTAAAGTAGTAAATCAGCTTTAATCAGTTCTGCGTCGATGATCCATTGAGTTTATTACTTGCTCGTTGATAAACCAAAGCAGTTCCTTAGCTCAGAAACTTAACGGTTAGAATTTTTGAAGCTTTTCCAAAACTTAAGTTTTTTAACCCTGGCAGAAGATAAACCGGATCAACTCGCCCACAGCGGAGTTAGAGATTGGACAAAAGGATTAATGAACGGGTGTTAGTGTAGATATTCTCACGATTTCGTGAGAATTTTTCTACCACATATGTAAAACAAGGTCATTTTTCGAAGGTCAATTTTCGAGGTCCTCTCATCAGGTCATTTTTTTCCAAGGTCAATCAGATAATGTAGATTTCGTTCGGAATTAAGATAATTTCGGAATAAAAACATTATTCTGGAGAACGGAGATGATCCGCCGAAAACGAGTTTCCTAATTCAATGGTTTGTGAAATGCTTTGATAATTAATACTTGTATTCTTGAGACATACTAAGGAAATTAATCGTACCTGAGGTTTTGGTTTTAGGGCAATTAATCGAGAAGGGAAACATTTTTTACCTTTGGAAATAGTCTGAAGAGCTATGTATGCTCATTTTATTCTTATTTACGAAGCAATGGCTGAATTAAAAGGCGTCATACCTCGGAAACGTGCACGAAATCCAGTTCTAATTACTGAATGATCGGTTTTAAACCGTAGGAAAAGTTTTTTGGACGAACTTGTAACCGGGGAAGGAGTGGATGATCCATTAATTCGATCAATCAAAGGAGCGGAGAGTGATCCACCGTCGTAAATTTCCACATAATCGTGCTTTGCTTCCAGATCGAAATGAATAAAGACAAGTTCTATTCGTGTATTTGAAGATAGCTTCCAGTGGCAGTCCATATCATCATGGTAGGAAGATCCAATCTGATTCGACTCGATGATAACATCCCCATTAAGGAGTGGCCAAACTGTTGAGTTCTCACAGGAACGATTAACTGCCACTGTGACTGCCGTAGGAATAAAAAATGAACAGCGGTCAAATTGAGTTTATTACATTTGCGGTGTACAAACCAAAATCTTCTACGTCGTACTGTTTCTTTGATCAATGATTATGATTGCAATTTTATTACAAAAGGTATATTTAAGAGGCCTTTTGGCCAGCCATTGATTTGGTTAATGAGCTCATCTCTTATAGTTTTTGTGCTTCATCCATTATTTGGCCCCAAGTCGAGCTGGAGTTCGGAAAAGGAAAAGTGTAGAATCCGTAACGATGCAAGGGACGCGCTTAGAAGTGCCAGCCATTCCCCTAACCTTGATTCAACCTAACTCACCTATTTCACATCGGGATCCTTCAAAACCTGCTGGACAAATGCACTTGAAGCCATCAACATGGTCAGAACAGGTTCCATTATTACTGCAAGGATGTTTCGCGCAGCCATCAATGTCTATTTGAACCAGAAAAGGTGATATGAGTAAAAAAAGGGCTGTAAAATGTTGAACTAGGGAGTCCGATCTAAGTTCCAGTGCACACTGTGGAATTTACCAGCTTAAATAATTCTTTGAATTTGCCTGGCGTAGTTCTGAGATTATTCCTTATTCCCTTACAATTTTCAGAGAAGACATCCTCTGTTATATCAAGTGGCTTTTACACAGTTAGGGATGCTGTGCAAAGTGAGTACTATTCTTAAATAATTTAGGCAAGCACCATTGCTTTCGAAACTAACAGTTCTGCTAAGAAAAAAATTGTCTCCTTCGGTCAAGGCTTGCTTGTTGTTTTGTGCTGTTTTGTTTTAATATGAGTTAATCTTTTACCCTAGGACGCACATGCATACTCATACCCCCAACGTAGTACGAGATGGCGGCATGAATTATTAGTATTCATGACAAGTCAGTAACTTAGAAAATTGCTATTTCTTATTAATGAAAGATGCCAGGAAAAAAAAAAAAAACAACTGCATTTCTTATATGTAAACCGGCACCTTTTGTGCTCATTGATTGTAAAGCGTTGTTGAATCTCATGGGATACCACAAGGACTCTGAAGGCGGGTTTCATTAGACCAAAATGTCTAGAAATTTGGGTTCAAATTCAAAAGGAGCAGAAACTGCTGGTCAAGCTCTCGAGGTTGTCCATTTTTCTGGAAACTTGGAAATTCACTTAAGATAATTACTTCATCATTGTCTTCGAGCATATCTTCGAGTAAATAGCAATCATCGAATAGCTCAAAAGCTAAAAAAAGTGACCCTAGATTCTCCATTTCAAATCTTGAAAGGAATTGCGCCCGCGTGGGAATGGAACATGAAATTAAAAAATACGACACGCGAAAATTTAGGAAATTCAATGCGAAAATTTTGATAAAGTGGAACGCGCCCTTAGTAATTTTGAAAGACACATGCGAGTGGCCGTTATTTTTTCGAAGCGTTGCGCTTTTGTAAATTTGGCTACCCTAAATTTTTAAATTGGCAGTTCGCATTTTCGCGTGTGTTCAAAATAAATTCAGCGATCGAATATCACTCATTATCAGGGCGTTGTGATGCACTATTAGATGCCAGAAAGTCAAAAGAAAACTTTGGAAGAGGGAAATGAATAATGCATACGTGTTTCGCAGTTACTTCCCGTGTACTTTTCCGTGCAGACACACACGTAACTGTCCCTCTCGTAATTTGAACGGCAGCTGCCGTTGTTTTGACATGGCTTGTTTAAGCACGGAGACTGAAGAACAAAAATAGGGAAAGCGGAGGAGTTCTTTAGGGCGATGTGTGCCTGCTACCTTGACACACGTTAAGATTTAAGATAGAACAGTTATTTACCAAAGGTTAGGTTAGTAGTGGTGAATATTTACCGAGCCGCAAGGCGGCTTGGTAAATATTTACACTTTGATCATCACTGAGGTGAATAATTGATTTATCACACACCACACAATACCCGAAAAAAAATTTATTTCTCCCAATAAACCAAAAAATGATTGGAACTTTGACTCACGACATCGATTTTATCTCATGGAGTGCTCAGAGGAGAAGACTACAAATTACTTCCGAACTGGCCAATCAGCGCGCGCGAAAAGTGCTATCCACCTGTGTGGTATATTTCAACTGTGCATGCTCTTTCGATAAATTCCCTTTCGGTCAAGAACATTTATCTGTCAGTCACTACAGCTTAGGTTTTTCAAAACTTATGAAATTGATTGTGAGACTCAGTTGCTTCATCGCGTTGGTCACGAAGGTAATTCTCATGGAGTAGCCTGTGATAATTAAAGTAGCCTGGAAATATCGTCTTGAAATAGTCAATTTATTCATAACTGATCCGTTTAAAACCAGGGAATTTTGCTCTTCTTCGTCAGCCCTATTATATTTGCTTTTTTTACGAGATGCAATCATCGCTGCAAGATACGTGCACTGACATATTCTGGCATACGATTTATACGAAAACAGCAGTAATTCAAAAGGAAGCTTAAGAGTTATACCAAAACGACGATTCTTTATAGTACTCAGATCCTACTTGCCTCAGTTAAGTAAGAAAGAAAATGGAGAACAAAAAAGCAAAACAACAACAGAACAAAAGACCCAGAGAAAGATAACCACCAGTGCATTTTGGTAATATGAGAATCTTGGTGCTAAAACCCGATAACATGTTGCAAAAACTTGAAACGCTGACGTCGACGTTTTGCTTCCAGAAGTTCCTTTAAACGCTTGCCGGGGTTTTCTTAATCAAGGCGATTACAGTACTGAGAAAATCCGACATAGCCCTCCTACACTGGGCATGATCTTTAGGAAAACATCCTCGATTCTCTTAAAATGAATAAGAGATAAAAATTCTTACCCAGATGCTGAAATGATGAAAAAGATGATTGGCAACCAGCTTGTCCGAGTTGTTGAAGATGTCCGAGGGAAGCAGTTCACATAGGATTTTACTATTCATTTCGATAACGGCAGCCAGGTTGAAAGAAAGGCACGAGGGTGTGCTAATACAAGCAAGTCCACAATCCACACTGCTGTGAACATAGTCTACTCCAAGTGCTGTTATGTTCAGGTAGGACAGTATGTGCCCTTGAAATCTGGCAAAAGTGACACCTGTGTGAGCATTTCTCTCTATGCCTTTACCAAGTGCGTCAATAGTCTTTGGTTGACCTGTTTTGTGATGATCGACAAAAAGGTAAAAAGGTAGAGCAATATTAACAATTAACAATTGCTTCATGCGTCTGCAGGCTTTAGGAGGATGTAAGAGATTTGACTGATTTGCAGAGCTCTAAAGATGCGTAAGAGTGCTCTCAAACTTTCCCAAGTGCCTCATATCTGGATGGACGAACATTCGAGCCATGAAAAAGTTGCTTTATGGTATGTTTGGTGAGAAATTTTCTCTGCTTCTCTTTAATAGGAAAACAAACGCCGCCAGTAAGTGTGTAAAATTGTTTAATGGAGCACCTTCACACCGTTGAAAGTAATATTGTCTAAAACTAGGATAAGGAATCGACCTCGATCGCAATTCAGCTAAGGAGGATGCGTAAAAGAAAAACAGAAAAGTTTTTACCTTTCGTTGTTATTGGAAAGAAAGTTAAGAAGGCCACAACGCTTATGACGTTGAGAGCGACACTAAGATCCATTGCGATGCGCTCTTGGAGAACTTTCATTCAAACAAGCATGCCCACGATAACAACTTATGCCTCGTGTTTAAGTTTTTCACATTTTCCATTGCAGGTGGCGCTCACGTATTCTGTAACACCAAAATGTTTTTTCTTTGGACAGTCCCATATCACTAACTTAATTAAACACAAACTGGACGTTTTTATTCAGTTGCACTCGCTGGGAAATTAACAGCAGTAAATCAATTATCTTTAGCATGTCAACCTTGTATCAAGAGACAAATTCAAATTGGGTGGGAGCCATATAATTATCTAAACTCTTCTTGAATGACAGCTTTGGTGTAGAACGTTGCGACTACAAATTAAACCTAATTATACCTTGTACAAACCAAAAGTCAACAAGAACTTACTCACGATGAACAAGAAAATTCTATGCACTGTTTGCGAGCCAGCCAAACCAAATTAAATTAAATATGTAAATTAAAACTTCTTGTTATGAGAATGTCAAAGGGGTGATAGCTTTTACGGCTAACTTTTAAATTTCTTTTTCTTTCTCAGTAAAATTCACCGCGTAAGTAAAAAAAAAAGTAAATGGAAAAAATTGGACATTAGCGCGCCGCAGGGAGCTCTAATTCTGACCCATGCGCCACGTGAGCTCCAGACACGGGTCTTTTCGGGCGTCTTACTCATGGAGTTCCCCCAGCGCAAAAGCCAAAATAAGAGCTCCCCGTGGCGCGCTAACGTCAAAGTTCTTTTTTTTTTATTTTTTCGACTCGTACGGCAGATTTCGGCAGACGGAAAGGAGACAAGGAGACTGCTCGTTGTCTAAAAGCATTTTAGCCCACACACATTTATTCACCTTCAAATTTAATATGTAAATCAGTTAAAACTCTGGCTCCGAGGATCTTGATGGCGTGCAAGCTTTTCCGTCTAATGTTCAAAATCTTGGCCATTTCACGGCTAACAGATAATTTCCTTTCTTTACAATTGCAAGGAAAAAGTTACAGTCGACTTCTTTTTCATGACTTACGGTTAAAATTTGTCAGTTTTTTTATGTCTAATGGCTAAAAATGTTTTCATCGCGTTATAGTAAAAAGTTAATCCCATGAAGAACCTCTCCAACTGATATCTCTAAAATACGTTAAATTATATTTAATTCTCGCAAGTTGCAAAGATGATATAAAGCCGAGCTGGGATTTTTCCATTCTGAAACGTGCTCATTGTTGCTAATGTTGAGAATATAAATATGTTTATGTTATGCAAAACTGGAAGGCGAAAACAGTAAGTACGTTTTATTATATGACAGCAGGTGTCATTTTTCGTCCCATTTTCAATTAATATTACTCAGGTTTAATTATCTTAGACCATCTCTTTATCCCCGTCGTAATTCGTCTCTGTTTAAATAATGATACTTTATCGTAAAGGAAGTTATTGTCCATCTCGATGGGTAACAATGTAAATAACTTCTAAACTTAAAGGCAACATTTAGCTTTCAATAAAGACCTTAAAAGGTATCAATTTCAAAACAAGACAAATGACAAATTTGCGATGTAAGGAGTAAACAAACTAAACACAGCTACGAAAAACAGGTGTATTTAGCTAAAACTATCTAGAATTGGAATCAGTCTTCCCTTTTCGACATGTCAGAGGTCTTTCCCCAGTTTTACATGGAAGGGTTACTTGTAATTTGAAGTCCTGACCTCGTACTACAGATCGAAGGCTTAACCAGCAAAATGGACCCAGTCGACCTGATGACCAATGTCTAAAATGTGAATAATTAAAACAAATCTGAGCTGCTTCACACTAAGTTTTGTTTTAAGACTTGTCTAAGTTCATTTTTAGCTTGAATTAACTGAAGGCTGGGTGTTCGCTATTTTCACACCGACATCAGCAGATGCAAATGAAAATTTTGGTGGAACAACAAGAAGAATTTCTGACTGCTACGTATGTAGGTTTTGAAAAATTGTGCCCGTGAGTTACACAAAGTTTTTACAATTTGTGCAAGACCAAAACATTGCAAAACTTGCTTCGTGTTTCCGACCATAGCTTGAAATGCTGAAATACTCTCGGGAGCTTTCGCTGAGCATTTTAGCGGATATTGAATGTGTTGATTATTCACGAATTTTTAACTGCTGGGTATCTAGGTTTTTGAAGAACCATGCCCGTGAGTCAAGGTTCTTATAGTATTCCGAAGCCAAGAGAATTCATCTACAACAAAAGCGAAACACTATTTAGAATCACTTCGCATTTCTAAACAAATATTGAATACTCTCACAGGGTTCACACTTCAATTTCTGTAGAAATTATTCTCTAAGAGTTGACACTGGGATCAGAGTACGAATTTTTTTCTAAGTGTCGAAACATCGAGATTTTATAGTATGCCTAAGGTCGAAAATTTCCTCAACTACAAAGCCAAAATCATAACTAAAATCGCTTGACATTTCTAAACAAAGATCTACAATTAAAAGAAGGATTGGATGAGTTTTTCCGTGAAAATTCTAGAATAATTTCAGACTGCCGGGTATGGAGTATTTTGAAAACACTTCGCAGTTGACGGGTAGCTAGACACTAGCAAAAGGTTAATGTGTGTATGAACTGGAGTAGTACAGGCCAGAATTTTGAATTCCCAGTGTGAAATTTATTCCTTTGCCCATTAGAAATTAATTCCCTCTTTAGTTTGCCTTCAGCATTACAGGTGTGAAATTTATCCCTCTGCCCATTAAATTGCTATTAAGTTTGCATTGAGCATTCCCTGAATATTGAATGATTGTGGGATAACTTCAAATTGAATTGTAAGTACATCCCTCCCTCAGTACTTTTCGACTGCACCCACCCCTCCCTGAGTACTAAAGGTGTGCCTCCCTGCTTATAAAATCGTCCAAAAAATCGTCCAAAAAATCGTCCAAAAAATCGTCCAAAAAATCGTCCAAAAAATCGTCCAAAAAATCGTCCAAAAAATCGTCCAAAAAATCGTCCAAAAAATCGTCCAAAAAATCGTCCAAAAAATCNTTCTTTATCCCCATCGTTCTCCGCCTCTATTAAAAAATACTATATCGCGGAGGAAGTTATTGTCCATCTCTGTAGATAACAATGTAAATAACTTCTAAAGGCAACATTTAGTTTTCAATAAAGATTTCAAACGGTATCAATTTGAAAACAAGAAAAATAACAATTTCGCGATATAAGGAGTAAACAAACTAAACACAGCTGCGAAAAACAGGTGTATTTAGCTAATACTACCTATGATTAGAATCAGTCTTCCTTTTCTGACATGTCAGAGATCTCTCCCCAGTCTTACATGGACGAGTTACTTGTAATTTGAAATGTTGATCTCTTACTATAGATCGAACGCTCAACTAGCAAAATGGACCCAGTCGACCTGGCCACCAATGAAGCAAGTGTATAGAATTCAAGATGGCGCCGTGAGAGACAGTGAAAGCGAGAAAAAGCTTTCGTTCATCTCGTAGTGTTATTTTCCATCGTGGATGGCTTTGAAAGACGTTCGGAAGACGCAGAAATAATTATAGAAACTCTTCCTGAAACTGTTGACAAGACTTTAGTCGCGATTCGAAGTTCTTTTGGCGTTCCAAACAATGAATCCGGAATACAAACAGAGAGATTAGTGTGACTTGAATCACCTATCTTCTAACAAGAGTTGTGTTCAGCGGAAAAGTCCGAGTTTAAGTTCTAGTGTTAATTCTGACATTACTCTGTGAAACATTTTAACAGTTCTTACTGCGAAGGATCGTGCACATATACATTTTAACAGTTCCTTCAACTTTTTATTCTACTTTCTATTTTATTCTATATGGTAAATTTCTTTTCACACGCACAAAAAGAAATGCATTTTTATACTTGTGACAGATTTTGTGCAACAAAGAGCTCGGGCACATGCATACAAGGGTTGTTCAGTTAAAAGGCTACGTAAATACCACAGTAAAATAAGTAAACAAATAACCAAATAATAAAAACGCGGCAGAAAGTTAGTGAAGTATATTAAGAGATAGAGAAAACTACAATGATTGGATTTACTAGTTGCAAATTCATATATTAATCAGAAGAAAGCAGGTTAATAGTTCTTTTTCTTAACTTAAACCTTTGACAGAGTATGCACAATTATAAGTACCAACTATGCATGTACTTAATTCAAAATCTTAACCAAAGAATATTGCATGCTTCCCTACTTAAATCATGCGGATATCGCAACTTTTTATGGATATGATATATTTTCGAGCAAGGTCGTATACGCCCGGCCAATCGCGCATGATTTTCAATGAAGCATTTAGTGACTAAGCACTAATCTGTATCTATTTCGGAAATAAAATAGCTATTCAAAAGCTAATTATGCAAAGATTTCAATAGAAAACTTGTTCAGCTAGTGTTTTAAAGGGTAGCTCATTCATTAGCATCATTATTATTTGGAGGGAAAAGTTATCGTAACGCTTGATCGTTAATGTTAGGTAACAGCTCTTATTTACCCAAAATGGCATTGAAACGTGCACAAGCTCGAGGTTCAGTTTAACTTATACCACCAGAACACGCCTGAGTCTTCCTGGCGACCTCAATGGCGCCTTTCGAGCCGCTCATAAGGACACTCGAGGAGTGATCTATCCGATCTTTGGAAATGTATATTATGATATTGAAGAGAGGCCTAATTCGGGGTCGTTGCTGCACTACCATTTAACGAGGAGGCTACAAAGATGATTACTATGACGAAACCGTGAATGTACAACGAAACTGAAGTAACATTAACAATGTCAGGTATCTGCACTTAATGTTTAGTGTGGATTTTATGGTTTGAAAGAATTTTCAGGAGGCAAAATACTAACGCAGGATTTAAATAAATGTAATTCAAGGCACCATCTAATGCCAAGAAACAAGTCATAGCTTGGAAAGAGGTAGTCTAAAATGTGTATAATAAAAAAAATCTGAACTGCTTCACACTAAGTTTTGTGTTGAGACTTGTCTAAGTTACTTTCTAGCGTAAATTAACTGAACGCTGGGTGCTCATGTCAGGTCCCGAGTTCATATTCAAGCAAAGGAGCGTTAAAACTTAAACAAAATCAAGTTTCGTGTTTATCAGTAGCAAAGCACGCCTGAGTCTTCGCCGTGATTGCAGTGGTTAAATCCTTCCTGGGTGAAGGGACACTGAAGTAATGAGCTCTCTGATCCCACGCAGTTTATGTGATCTTTCCATATGAGACCCGATCCTTGACCGTCTGCTGCACTGACGCTGACAGAGGAAGCTCCAGTGAAGCCAAGCTGCCGACATGTCACGTTTGCATCATTCATATCCCATGTATCATCGCAAATTGTTCCCCAGACCCCTCCGTCAAACACTTCAACACGACCGTACCTCGCCCCACCATTTACCAAACGAATTGGAAGAGAGTCATATGAACACGTTACACTGGCATCTTGACTATGAGTACAGTTTTCATGGTTACCCCATCCACTGTGTCCACAACTGGATATCGACGACTCATTTCCAAAGCAAGCCAAGTCATTTATCCATATTGGACCGGTTCCTTGGCCATGACTGGCACCGCTAAAGACTTGGGAAACACTGTCGAAGCCAAGTTGCTTGCAAGCCACCAGGCCAGCATCGATATTCCACCCATTGTCACAAATTGTCCCCCACTGATTATTAAAAAAGACCTCCATCCTTCCCGTGAATGGATCATTACCAGTACCAGCTATACGCAATGCACCATCTGCTAAAGCTTTGTACAAAAGAAAAACTCAGTATCAAATGATTTATGATTTGATTGATCTATCAACCAATTCTTCGATTGCTCGATCTTGGATTTCGTTGAAACTATTCTGGGACTGCGTTGGATTGCATCCAAGTATCTGCCTTCCAAGTATTTTGGAACAGATTAAAAAAGAAAGTCTTCAATAGGTCGAGGACGTTATTATGAGGAAGTGCTGAAGGCTGTAGGGGAGAATTCTTTTTCATTTTTATGGACACTATCATTAGCGTTCCATACTTACCTTTCTTCCACAAAATTCTCACACTAAGATGTCAAAAGTCTTTAAGTAATAAACTTTTAGGTTTTTGGACAATTGATCGGAATGGAAATTCATTTGTTTACGTTTGGAAATAGTTTGACATGCTACCTCTGCTCATTTCCTTAAGATTTATGAAACATGCAACAGAAAAGCATCATACCTCGGACACGTGCACGAAATCCAAACAAAGCAACTGAATGATCGGTTCTAAACTGAAGGCAAAGTTTGCTGGACGAACTTGTTACTGGGGAAGGAAGAGATGCTCCAGTAAATCGACGAATCTGAGGAGCAGAGTATGATTCACCGTCATAAACGTTCACAAAATCGGGCCCATTTTCCATTTCGAAAACAGGAAAGGAGAGTTCTATTCTCGCATTCGAAGATATACTCCAACGGCAGTCCATATTGTTATCGTACTTTGTCCCTATCTGATTCGTCTCTATGACAACATCCCCATTAGGGAACTGCCAGACGGGTGATTTGTCACAAGAGCGACTGACTTCCACTTTGGGGACTGCCATACAAATACGAATTCAAGTAGGAGTTAGTACATAATCATTGCATTAGCAGTGTACAAAACAAAATATATTATCTCTTTAATCCATGATTACGCTTTCGATTGAGTTGCAAAAGATATCTTTTGGCAACCTTTATGCTGTCATTGATTTCTTTGAATGAGCTCATGTGGCATAGTTTTATGCTTGTTTTAAGAAATATCAGTAGATTAAACCATCAACTGGGCTTACCTATTTCACATTGGAGCCCACCAAAACCTTTTGGACAAGTGCACCTGAAGCCACCAACATGGTCAGAGCAGGTCCCATTGTTACGGCAAGGACGGTTCGCGCAATCATCGATATCTATTCGAACCAAGAAAGGCGATATTGATTAAAATAGCTGTACAATGTTAACTTGGTGGGTCTGATCTAAGTTATAGTGCACATTAGGGATTCCACTGGCTAGGAAATTTATTGCGTCTACCATATCTTTTTAAATAATTCCCCAGCATTCCATGGTGATAATTTTTGTTCATTATTTTTGTGACCATAAAGGGAACATCATCTGTTTGATCAAATGACTTTTAAAGGGTCAGAAAGGTCTATGCAAATTGGGGATTATTCAAAATAAATAAAATGCAAGTGGTGTTGTTTTCTAAAACTACAGTTTCTTTGATAAAAGAAAGTTGTCGTGTCAGGGCTTGCTTCTTTGTTTATTTCATCTTTTTAATTCTTTTCTGTTTTTCATCTTCTGAAGTTATAAAACAAAGTCACTTAATATAGTTACCCTCTAGAAAAAAAGCTAGTTTTCTTTTCCGCCGTGGGACAATTAATTCTTAGCTCGAATGCGTACTCTCCAAACAATATTGAAGATCATCACTCATAATAAATAGCTATGGACACTTGAGCAGGATTAAGAAATATACTTTTTATTCGCTCGACGAACTTGTATTATCTTATGTTTAATACGTGCACCTGTTTGGGTTTCAAGTCTTTTGCGCGAGGCAGGCCGTCTTTCTGTATCGCGAAAAATGTTACGTTTTTCAAAATATTTTGTTTTCCAAGTAGTCCTAAGTCTCCGGTTTTAACTTCCCTGGAAAACTATTATTTTTCTTTAAATATTTCACTGGCCGTTATTTTTTGGGGCGTTTCAATTATGTTAACCCTATTTTCCCGCATTTTGTATCCGTTCGGCAGCTCGGACTTTTGCTTTTGTACAAATTGAATTCAGTAATCGAATATCATTTAGAGTTCTGGTGTAATCTGAGGGCGATACGATGTAGCATCAGATGGCAGTTAGTTCTAGGAAAAAATTCGAAAGATGGAAATGAATAATGAATGCAAACCGTTGCCCACCTGTTTCGCAGTTACTTCCTGTGTATCCCTCCGCGCAAACACACACATAACTATTCCTCTGGTAATTTGAACGGCAGGTGCCTTTGTTTTGACATGGCTTGTTTAGGCATGGAGACTAAAGACATAAAAGAAGAAAAGCAGAGGAGCTCTAGATGGTGATGTGCGTGCGCCACCTTAACACAGGATAAGATTCAGAATAGTTAACAGTTATTTACCAAAGTTGAGATGACTAATGATGGATATTTACCGAGACGTAAAACGGCGTAATAAATATTCACAATTTCATTAACACCGAGGTGAATAATTGATACATTATTTACCACGAAATAACCAAAAAAAATAGTGTTTTTTTCTCAGTACACCGAAAAACTGGTCGGAAATTCAACTCTTGAAGCGTGATTTAGTCTCTTAGTCCGCTGAAAGGAAGATACTGGCAAATTACTTCCGAGCGTCGTTGGGCGCGCGCGAAAAGCGCAATTCATCTGAGGGGTACGTGACCTACTAAAACTGACCTGTCAGTTGATTAAAGTTTAAGCTCTTCAAAACTCATGATATT